GTCCCCGTGCAGCTCCCGGACGAGGGGCCGGTCCCGGGGGATCCCGGGTGTGTGTGTGTGTGTGTGTGTGTGTGTGTGTGTGTCAGAGCTGGAAGCAGGGTGCTAGGCCCAGACACACGTGTGTCCCCCCTCCCCCTGCCCCGCGACCTCTCAGGCCCCCTGGGGCCCCCTTGGCAGCCCTCGTCCCAGCAGGCCGTTGCCCCAGGAACATGCAAACGCCCCCCACACCTGTCCCCTGGAGGCTGGTGCTGGGCCAGGCTGGATGCCAATGGGGTTTGTCTAAGCAGCCCCCCCCCGCCCGCAGGCTCCCCTTGGGCTGCTGGGGGCCGGCGGGGGGCACCAGGGCACAGCCCCTCAGGCAAGCCTGGGCTCTGCCTCCTCTGCCGCCTCCATGCACCCCGAGCCCAGGGCCCCTCCCTGGACTGTTTACGGCTGATCAGGTGGCGGTGGGGCGGGGCTGATGGCGGGTACCAGCGGGAGGGCCTGGGCCAGGTGGGGGGAGGGTATGTCACCTCCTCATCCTCCCTCAGCAAGGGCTCTGTGACCTTCAAGTGACCCCGTTACCTGAGGGGCTGCTGGTCCCGGGGCGTCCCCAGCGTCTGACTTTGGGCAGCAGGTGGGCGCCCTCAGGACGGGATGGCCACCAGATGCCCAGGGCCTCGCCCTCGGCAGGGCCTGTGGGGCTGGCACAGGCCTGGCTGGGCAGCCAGCACCTGCTCCCCTGTGGGTGCCCTGGGTGGGACCCCGAGCTTCCGCCTGCAGCCTCGCCCCTCCCTGGCCCGCCGCTCCGTCCGGCAGAGGGCTTGGCAGAGGCCCGCGCCCAGGGGGGCGGCTGTGAGGGCGGGCGGGCTGGTGGGACAGGAGCCCCCACCTCGGCTCCCGGCGGCATGCCCGCCCAGCTGCCAACCTCGTCCGCCGGCCTGTTGCCCATGATGCTCTCCTCCCCGGAGCGGACTGGGGTACAGCTCCGGGGCCTCTCATCCCGTGCTCCCCCCTCACACAGGGCACCCCGCCAGCACCCAGCCCGAGGCCCCCGCACAGGGCACCCTCCGCCCAGGACTCAGCGCTGCCAGGCTGCCCGCCCTCAGCCTTGTTTTGTTGTGACTCAGAGTCAGCCGCTGCCGAGCCTCAGAGGGGGCGGGTCTCTGGCTGTGAGCCCGCCCAGCCCGCCCGCCCCAGCAGCACCTTCCTCTGCCGCCCAGCGGAGCCCTGCTGGCCGCCCTCGGCTCCCCCTGCAGCCTCAGCTCCCGGCGGGGAGAGGGAGGGCAGAGGGATCGGCTGCTGGGGGCCGGCAGGCTCTGCAGGACGGGGTCCAGTTCCCACCCCTGCCCCACTGGGCCAGAGCCGGGGGCCAGCCTCGCTGCCCGCCCCATTGCTTCCCCGCAGCTCCTGTGGCATCCGCACGGCTCCCGCGCCCAGCCATGTCCACGGTCTCCGGAAGTCTGGTCGGCTTTTCGTGTTTGTGGTTGTGAATCCTCCTCTGAGGATGTTTTCCCATCCGTGTTAGAGAGGCGGACGGAGAGGGAGAGACGGAGGCACGTAACACCGATGAGAGACACGCTGGTCGATGGGGCGCCTCCTGCGGGCCGGGCTGGGGAGGCGCCTGCGGCCGAGTCCCTGCCCTTGACCAGAATGGGACCCGGGACCCTTCTGTCCCAGGGCCGGGCTCTGCCCACTGAGCCACCCGGCAGGGCATGGAGCCTGATGGTGAAACCAGGCCCTCGGCTCTGCCTCTCAGGGCAGCGCACACTTCCTGGGGCCGCCCTGGGGCCGCGGAGCAGGCTCCTGCGGTTCCGTTTGGGTGCGAAGGTGGGGGGGGGCCAGGGGGAGGCGGTCCAGCTGCTGAAGGACCCGCCGCCTGCTGTCTGTCTGTCTGTCCGCTCCGGGGTTTTGTTCTGTTGCCTTGGTCTGAATTCCCATTTGCCCGAGGACTGCTGATGCCGACTGCGTCCCGTCTGGCGCTGCTGGTGCGTCTGTTCAGGTCTTTGGCCCTTTCCCGGCTCCCCGCCCCCCAATACAGTGTATGGACTTCAGAGAGGAAGGGAGAGGAGAGAGCGATGTAAGCATCAGGCATGAGAGAGAAGCGTGGATCGGCCGCCTCCCGTACGCCCCCCACTGGGGATGGAGCCCGCCACCCGGGCCTGTGCCCTGACAGGGACTCTCACCGTGACCTCCTGGTTCATGGGTCGAGTCTTAACCACTGAGCCACACAGGCCGGCTCCTTGCCCATTTCTCATGGCGTGTTTGTCTTCTCTCTCCTGGCATGGCTCCGGTGCCAGGCTCCGGGCAGACACTTCCTGAAGGCCTTCCCCCCGGCCGGGGAGCTGGGGGCGGTGAACGTCGCCCCCAAACGCCAAGGTTGCTGGTTCGATCCCTGGCCAGGGCGCATAGAAGACTCAGCCCATGAACGCGTGGGTGGGTGGAGTAACAAATTGATGTCTCTCTCTCTCCCTCTTCTTCCCCTCTCTCTAAAATCAGTCGACTCAAAAAAACTCAGAACTTAAAAAAGAGAATGCTTCTCCGGGCCAGAGGGTCGTTAAGATGGAATGCGCTGTGTCCACTTTCCCTTACGGGTTGAGTCACGCCTTCCGTGCCCACAGCCCCGCCCCCGCCCCGCGGCCCCTTCCGTCTGTGGTCCGGCCGCACTCAGCGCTGTGACTCACTGCGTCCGTTTTCACGTGAGAAGTGGGGAAAGGTCCGCTTTCCCCCAGACAAACGCCCGATGACCGGGCACCAGCGCCTGTGGGGAAACGGCTGCTTTTCTCTTGCGATGACGGGGCTGCCTCAGCCGGCCTCCTCGGGCCTCCAGCACTGCAGCCTCAGGCCCCTGCAGTTATTTTATTCGATGGGACTTTGAGAATGTGTTTTTACTGATGGGGGAGAGAGAGAGACAGAGAGAGAGAGACATCCATCGGCTGCCTCCACAGGCCTCCCCTGGGAGTGGAGCCGGGGCCGACATCACCCTGGCTAGGATTCCCACCAGCACCTCTGGTTCGTGGGCCGACCTCCACCGACCAAGCCAGGCCAGCCGGGCGGGGACACGTGGTCAGTCCGGGCGACCGTCCCAGGTGCCCTTGGCGAGAGGGCGCGTCAGGCACGTGGTCCCAGCGCCTCGGGGTGAGGGGAGCGGGTGGGCGGCCTGTGGGTTACAGACTGTCTGAGCGGAGCCAGCCCCCTGGGGGCTGGGGGTCCCCCTCTTTGTCCTCCTGTTTCCCATCCACGTTCTAGCTCTGTGGGCGTGCGCACATGCGTGTAGGAGGTGTGACCGCCGGCCGCCCCCGCTGGGCACGGCCTCACCGGCCCTGTCCTTCCCGGTCTGCTGTTCCACGCGCCCGGCCGGCCACACCACGCCTGCCCCTCGAGGGGCCGCCTCTCCCTGGTCCCTGCCATCCGCCCTCACGGCCATTCGCCCCTGGGACACCCCCAGGCTGCAGACTGACAGTTTATAATGTTTTTTGGGTGAATCATAATTCTCCACGGCACTGCATGTACACATGATTTCTTGGCTTTGCCTCTTTATTTTTTATTGTTTTCCTTCGGTTCCACTTTAAAACGGCATATGTATATACATACGTCTAGTTCTGGCATACAGCTGGGTCTTGCTTCTTTATCTCATCTGACAATCTCTGCCTTTTGCCTCAACTTTTAACCCCCCCGTCCCTCCCCACACGAGGTCCATGGTCGGCAAACTGCGGCTCGAGAGCCACATGTGGCTCTTTGGCCCCTTGAGTGTGGCTCTTCCACAAAACACCACGGCCTGGGTGAGTCTATGTTGAAGAAGTGGCGTTAGAAGAGGTTTAAGTTTTAAAAATTCAGTTCTTCAAATAAATCTCAATCATTGTCCTGTTGGTATTTGGCTCTGTGGACTGAGGAGATTGCCGACCGCGGAGCTAGGTTTAACGTGATTGTTAAGGTGGTTTAAATCCGACTGTCCTGCTAATTGCTCTCTGTTATCCCGTCCATTCTCCGTCCTCTTTCCGTACCTGGTTTTCAGGGTTAATTAAATATATTTATCCCACAATAGCACACATGCTATGTACACATCATATATGTTCATATGTAAGACTACAGCCCGATGCACGGAATCTGCAGGAGCAGGCCTTCCTGGCCCTGGCGGCCGGCACCGGCTTCCCCCGGCGCCCGGGACCCGGGCTCCCCCGCCGGCTTCGTCCGGAAGGACAGTGTTCCATTTTGTTTCCACTGTCGGCCTCTTTCTCCTTTCTTTTTATAAATATGTTTATTGATTTCAGAGAGGAAGGGAGAAGAAGAGAGAGACAGAAACATCAGCGATGAGAATCGTGGATCGGCTGCCTCCTGCACGCCCCTCACTGGGGATGGGGCCTGAAACCCAGGCCTGCGCCCTGGACCGGAATTGAACCCGAGGCCCTTGGGTCCAGGGCTGACGCTCGAACCAGTGAGCACGCGGCCAGGGTCCGATCCCGGAGTGAGTTAAGGCCAGGGCTGTCCGCGGGATTTTGTTTCTATAATTTGTTCCTTTATGAGCACTTCTTTCGTGGACGCACATATTCCCCGGAATCTTTAACGCGCTTCCCCTTCGCCATCTTTTCCAGGTTTCCAGTCTGTTCTCCATCATTTTATTCTTATTTTGTTGTTTTAAGTCTTTATTGCTGGAAGTGTTACGCAGGCCCTCCCCCGCCCCCTAACCTCTGCCAGCTGCGCCCGCCCCTCCCCGCGGCTCTGGGGCCTGTGGACTGCGGAGGGGGCGGGGGACCGGCCTCCCTGCCTGCCCCGCCCGCGGCCTCTGCCGGTCGTGGATTCTGTCCGGGGGCCTCGCCGGCCGCATCCTCAGCTGTTCGGCTCCCTGGGCCGATGGGCCAGTTTAGTCGTCTGTCGCACTGCCTGAGCTCCCCCCGCACCCCATTCTGGCTCCCTGCCCCCCCCCTGTGATCTCGGACTCAGCGTCCAGGACGGGGCGACCCCCCTGGACGTACACCCGCTCCCGGGCCCCCCGCAGGCTCACTGACCCCCTCTCCCCGCAGTGTCCGGGCGGCAGCTGCAGGCCGAGGATCCGGACGCGGACACGGAGGACGACCGCTCGGTACGTGAGGCCTGGGCACGCCCTCCGCGCCCCTCCCTGGGCTGGGCAGGCGGACGGAGGGTGACCCACCTGCCCCCCTCGCTCCCCCACACACAGGTGACCGAGGGGCCCGCGGAGGAGATCATCCGGCCCCGCCCGCAGGGCTCCTCGCCCGTCTACGAATGCGTGGCTGAAGGCGCCGGCTTCGCGCTCCGGGTGAGGCCCCGGACGGGGACCCCCTCCCCCCCGGCCACCGCTCCTCATCGCCGAGGGGGCAGCTCACAGGCGTGTCTGCCCAGCCCCAACCCCCCATCCGCCCCGTCCACTGCCCTGGGCCTCGGCTGTGCCTGATCGGCTGCCCTCTGCCCCCCACCCTTCCCTTCAGCTGGTCTGAGAGGTGTGTGCACACGTGTGTGCGTGCATGAGCATTTGTGTATATGTGTGCATGCATGTGCATATATGTGCATGTGTGCGCATGTGTGTGAGGAGCAGCCCTCATGCTCCTGTGGGCGGCTGGGGAGGAGACAGGTGGTGTCCCACAGCCGAGGCCAAGGCCCCCTCTGCACGCAGCCCCGCCCGGGGGCTCCCACCCCCTCCCCATGGCCGGGTCCCCGGGCAGCCGGAGAGTGACCAGCCGGGGGGTGACGGTGTCTGTGGCCACAGGAGGACACGCAGAGCAGGCCGGGCGCCTCCGGGCGACGGCGGTCCTGGTGGAAACGGGATTCTGGGGACTCTCGGACGTTTGCCAGGATGAGCCGTTCCGAGGTGGGTCTGGTGGGAACCGGGGGCGGGTCAGGGGGTGGACCCCCCACAGAGCTGCAGCCAGAGGCCCAGCAGAGCAGGAGGAGCGGTGCTGGGAGCTGGTGTGCACCCCGTCAGGCCCGGGGCCGGGCTCCAGGGGCCGGGACCTGGTGCTCACTGCTCCCTGCTCAGCCGTGTGCGGGGGGCTGCTGCCTGCGGCACAGGCTGTGGAGGGCGCTGGGTCTGTGGGCTCCTGGGGAGGAGGGGACGCTGCCCTGAGGCCACCTGTCTGTCATGGGGTCCCTGGCAGTCCTGACGCCTGTGGCCCAGGCCCCGCCGCCCCAGGCCCGGCAGGCCGTGCCCTCTGTTGCATTTCCCTCCGTGTTTGTTTGAGGGAACACGGCCGTCTGAGCTCACAGCGGGTGAAGAATGAACGAGGCCACGAGGCTCTGACAGCTGGGAGCAGAAGCTCGCCCCTTTGCCCCCCAAGTCCCTGGGGCTGTCCCCGAGTCCTGGCGGGAGGGGGTGGGGGCAGGAGGAGGCCATGCCTGCCCCCTCCCCTGCAGCTGGCTCCAGCAAAACTGGGCCACAGCAACCCAGGCCCGCCCAGGGTGCCCTCCAGTCGGTGCCCTCCCCGCGCCCTCTCTGCGCCCTCTGCTGGCTGCGGGCAGGACCAGCTCTGTCCTGGAGGAGGCAGCCAGCACTGGCCGGCAGGACGGCAGCGCTCACCCGGCCGGCCGTGTGCTCTGCTCTGTCCACCAGGAGGCGGCGGAGGTGATGCTGAAGACGGAGGTGGAGGCAGGTGCCAGCGGCTACAGCGTCACGGGCGGTGGGGACCAGGGCATCTTCGTCAAGCAAGTGCTCAAGGGCTCCTCGGCCGCCAAGCTCTTCAGCCTGCGAGAAGGTGCCCAGCCACCTCCCTGCGCCCTGGCCCCCAGCAGGGTGGGGGGTCTGCAGGGCCAGGCCAGCCCGGGGCTCAGGATGTGGCCCACATGCTGGGCTCTCTCCCTGTGACGGACACACACACACAGGGCTCCGTGGAGGGACGGGCTGGGCACGTGGCGACTCCCTCTCGTGCACACACCCCTGCAGGCCTTCCCACACCCTCCTCACCCAGCCTCCCCCCTCCTCCCCCCTGCAGGCCCCTCCTCACCTATCCAAGCCCCTCTGTTCCGCTTTGGCCCCTTGGTCCCAGCAAGGTGAACCTGGGGGCTAAGGCCACGACCGCTCTGTCTGTCTAGGGGACCAGCTGCTCAGCGCAACCGTCTTCTTTGACCACATCAACTACGAGGATGCTCTCAAGATCCTCCAGTACTCGGAGCCGTACAAGGTCCAGTTCCACATCAAGCGGAAGCTCCCGGCTGCAGGGGCGGAGGATGGGGCCTCCGGCACCGCTCAGCACGCCCCAAAGCATCCGGGAACCCAGGTGAGCGCGGGACCCCGGGGAGGCCCGGGGGCTGGGGCCTGGGCAGCTCCAACAGGCCCTCTCCCTGCGCTCCAGGACGAGGATGGCGCCGAGGGCGGCCCAGACACCCCCGTGAGGACGCTGGAGCGGGACGGGGACCAGGAGCGGCTCATCTCCAAGTCCCGGGGCGGCCGGGGCGGGCGGGCCCAGCGGGAGAGGCTGTCCTGGCCCAAGTTCCAGGCCGCACGGAGCCAGCGAGGGCCCCGGCGGTCCCACAGCTCCTCCGAGGCCCATGAGGAGGGCCCGGCCCCAGACGGGTCCCCCACCAGCTCGGACACGGAGGCCCAGTTCCTGGCGGAGGAGCGGGAGCGGGCGGCAGCGGCTGGCAGCCAGCGGAGGAGGAGGTTCCTGAACCTCCGGTTCAAGGTGGGCTCCGGGAAGGGACCATCGAGGGAAGGGGAGGGGGCGCTGAGGCAGAGGGGCCACAGCGGGACTGTCCAGACCCCCTTCCTGGCGGAGGCAGGTCCTGGGGTAACAGCCAGCCGGACGTGAGGGCTGTGGCTCAGGGTAGCAGGTAGGGCAGGGTGGCAGACACACATGTTCTGACATGGAGGGTGGGACGGGCAGACGCTGAAGACAGAGGCAGGAAGGGCCAGCGGAGAGGGTGCCCCAGGGGGCAGCTGGGGCAGGCCCAGCCCCCGGACAGGGTGGGGCAGGCCGCGGGGAGGGAGGCGGAGGCTGGACACGGGCATTGCCAGGTTATCCCTGCAAGACCCTGCGGGTGAGGCCGCCCGGGGGCCCCCAACCAAGTCCAGACCCGAACACCACGCCCTCAGACGCCCACCTTCGGCATTTCCAAAAGAAGGGAGCTGGGCACCGAAGGCGGGATGGAGGCCTGAGAGCTGGGGCCCAGGCAGGAGGAGAGGGAGCAGGGCCCAGACACCCCAGGGGACAGAGTCACCACAGCGCACGGCCCACACGGGAAGGAGGCCAGAGCAGAGAGGGGCCGGGCAGGACGGAGAGAGGACAGCAGACGTGGGGCCGTGACAAGGGGCAGGGAGGAGGAGAGGAAAGTGCCCACGTTCGGAGGGTCCCCCGAGGAGGCAGAGCCAAGGGCAGGGACACAGGGACGGGAAGCAGACAGGGACCCAGACACACAGACACATCACGGCTGTCCGTTTGCAGGCGGACACGGAGGACGCGACTGGGAAGGAGCGCAGAGCCCAGAAGCACCCCTCGAGGACCGCACCAGAGAGGGCCGGGGGGGCAAGGCCAGACGGCGACCTCGGCCTCGGGGACAAGGAGGTGGTCGCGCACGACAGCAAGTTCAAGATGCCCAAGTTCAGGATGCCGTCCTTCTGCAGCTCAGGGGCAGCCACGGGGGCCGCAGGGGACGTGACCCTGCCCTCCATCCAGGCTGACCTCGAGGCCACTGACCTCAGTATTGACCTCCCATCTGCCGACGTGGACATCAAGACCGGCGAGCTTGGAGTGAAGATCCCGGAGGGTCACCTGCCTGAGGGAGAGCTTGAGGGACGCTCCTCCGGAGTTGGACTCAAAGGGCACCTGCCCAAGGTTCACATGCCCAGCGTGAAGATGCCCAAGGTCGACTTCAAAGGCCCCCAGGTGGACATCAAGGGGCCCAAAGTGGACCTGACAGGCACCAAAGCAGAGGTGTCGGCCCCTGACGTGTCGGTGTCGGTGCCCAGTGTGGAGGTGGACATCCAGACTCCAGGTTCTAAGCTGGAGGGAGACATTGTCCTGAGGGACATAGAGGAGGCCACCTGGGATGGGAAGTTCAAGATCCCCAGGTTCAAGGTGCCGTCCTTCGGAGTATCGAGGCCAGAGACAGACTGGGGGACGTCCGTGGACATGCCCGAGGCCACGTCAACAGGGGAGGCCCGACTTCCTTCCCTGGAGGGTGAGATGCAAGTCCCAGGGGGTGCCCTCCACGTGCCATCGGCTGAAATCGAGCTCCCAGGGAGAGAGTGGGAGGTGGCCGTCCCCAAGGGAGAGGTGTCGCTGGGGGAGCTGAAGGGCAGAGCAGAAGGAGCCACGTTCCAAGGACACCTGCCCAAGGTGCAGAAGCCTAGCATGAAGATGCCCAATGTTGACTTCAAGAGCCCCCAGGTGGACATCAAGGGGCCCAAACTGGACCTGAAGGGCCCCAAAGGGGAGGTGACTGTCCCAGACATGGAGGTGTCAATGCCCAGCGTGGAGGTGGACATTCAGGCTACAGGCCGAACACTGGAGGGTGACATCACCCTGGGGGATAAAGAAGTGGTCACCAAGGATAGCAAATTCAAGATGCCCAAGTTCAAAATGCCGTCGTTTGGCACATCGGTACCTAGCAAGGACTGGGGATCATCCGTGGATATGCCAGTACCCAAAGCCACTGGGAAGATGAACCTGCCGTCCATCCCGGGGGAGACTGCAGTAGCAAAGGGCAGCGTCCACCTATCATCGGCTGATCTCCAGTTTCCTAAGGGAGAAATGGAGGCGGCCCTCCCAGAGGGAGAGGTGACCCTGGGAGAGATGAAGGGCAAAAGAGAAAGGGACAGGTTCAAGGGCGACATGCCCAAGGTACAGATGCCCAGCATGAAGATGCCCAAAGTCGACTTCAAGGGCCCCCAGGTGGACATCAAGGGGCCCAAGGTGGACCTGCAGGGCCCCAAAGGGGAGGTGACCATCCCCGACATGGAGGTTTCGCTGCCCATTGTGGAGGTGGACATTCAGGCACCGAGCGCCAAGCTGGAGGAAGACATTGTTCTGGGGGACACAGAGGTGACCACCAAAGACAGCAAGTTCAAGATGCCCAAGTTCAAGATGCCTTCCTTCGGTATGTCTGGGCCAGGCAAGACCATGGAGGCCTCAGTGGACATGACCCTGCCAAAGGCTGAGGCAGACGTGTCCCTGCCCTCCATCCAGACTGACATCAAGACCACTGACCTCAGTATTGACCTCCCATCAGCTGACATTGACATCAAGACCAGCGAGCTTGGAGTGAAGATCCCGGAGGGTCACCTGCCTGAGGGAGAGCTTGAGGGACGCTCCTACGGAGTTGGATTCAAAGGGCACCTGCCCAAGGTTCACATGCCCAGCATGAAGATGCCCAAGGTCGACTTCAAGGGCCCCCAGGTGGACATCAAGGGGCCCAAAGTGGACCTGCAGGGCCCCAAAGGGGAGGTGACCGTCCCCGACATGGAGGTTTCGCTGCCCAGTGTGGAGGTGGACATTAAGGCGCCGAGTGCCAAGCTAGAGGGAGACATCGTTCTGGGGGACACCGAGGTGACCACCAAAGATAGCAAGTTCAAGATGCCCAAGTTCAAGATGCCTTCCTTCGGTATGTCTGGGCCAGGCAAGGCCATGGACGCCTCAGTGGACGTGTCCCTGCCCTCCATCCAGACTGACATCCAGACCACTGACCTCAGTATTGACCTCCCATCAGCTGACATTGACATCAAGACCGGTGAGCTTGGAGTGAAGATCCCGGAGGGTCACCTGCTTGAGGGAGAGCTTGAGGGACGCTCCTCCGGAGTTGGATTCAAAGGACACCTGCCCAAGGTTCACATGCCCAGCATGAAGATGCCCAAGGTCGACTTCAAGGGCCCCCGGGTGGACATCAAGGGGCCCAAAGTAGACCTGAAGGGCCCCGAAGGGGAGGTGACTGTTCCTGAGGGAGAAGTGAAGCTTGGAGACGTGAAGGGCAAAGCAGAAGGGCCCACGTTCAAGGGCCACATGCCCAAGGTACAGATGCCCAGCATGAAGATGCCCAAAGTCAACTTCAAGGGCCCCCAGGTGGACATCAAGGGGCCCAAAGTGGACCTGCAGGGCCCCAAAGGGGAGGTGACCGTCCCCGACATGGAGGTTTCGCTGCCCAGTGTGGAGGTGGACATTCAGGCGCCGAGTGCCAAGCTAGAGGGAGACATCGTTCTGGGGGACACCGAGGTGACCACCAAAGATAGCAAGTTCAAGATGCCCAAGTTCAAGATGCCTTCCTTCGGTATGTCTGGGCCAGACAAGGCCATGGACGCCTCAGTGGACGTGACCCTGCCAAAGGCTGAGGCAGACGTGTCCCTGCCCTCCATCCAGACTGACATCAAGACCACTGACCTCAGTATTGACCTCCCATCAGCTGACATTGACATCAAGACCGGCGAGCTTGGAGTGAAGATCCCGGAGGGTCACCTGCCTGAGGGAGAGCTTGAGGGACGCTCCTTCGGAGTTGGATTCAAAGGGCACCTGCCCAAGGTTCACATGCCCAGCATGAAGATGCCCAAGGTCGACTTCAAAGGCCCCCAGGTGGACATCAAGGGGCACAAAGTGGACCTGCAGGGCCCCAAAGGGGAGGTGACCGTCCCCGACATGGAGGTTTCGCTGCCCAGTGTGGAGGTGGACATTCAGGCGCCGAGCGCCAAGCTAGAGGGAGACATCGTTCTGGGGGACACCGAGGTGACCACCAAAGATAGCAAATTCAAGATGCCCAAGTTCAAGATGCCTTCCTTCGGTATGTCTGGGCCAGGCAAGGCCATGGAGACCTCAGTGGACATGTCCCTGCCCTCCATCCAGACTGACATCAAGACCAGTGACCTCACTATTGAGCTGCCATCTGCAGATGTGGACGTCAAGACCGGCGAGCTTGGAGTGAAGATCCCGGAGGGTCACCTGCCTGAGGGAGAGCTTGAGGGACGCTCCTCTGGAGTTGGATTCAAAGGGCACCTGCCCAAGGTTCACATGCCCAGCATGAAGATGCCCAAGGTCGACTTCAAGGGCCCCCGGGTGGACATCAAGGGGCCCAAAGTAGACCTGAAGGGCCCCGAAGGGGAGGTGACTGTTCCTGAGGGAGAAGTGAAGCTTGGAGACGTGAAGGGCAAAGCAGAAGGGCCCACGTTCAAGGGCCACATGCCCAAGGTACAGATACCCAGCATGAAGATGCCCAAAGTCGACTTCAAGAGCCCCCAGGTGGACATCAAGGGGCCCAAAGTGGACCTGCAGGGCCCCAAAGGGGAGGTGACCGTCCCCGACATGGAGGTTTCGCTGCCCAGTGTGGAGGTGGACATTCAGGCGCTGAGCGCCAAGCTAGAGGGAGACATCATTTTGGGGGACACCGAGGTGACCACCAAAGATAGCAAGTTCAAGATGCCCAAGTTCAAGATGCCTTCCTTCGGTATGTCTGGGCCAGACAAGGCCATGGACACCTCAGTGGACGTGACCCTGCCAAAGGCTGAGGCAGACGTGTCCCTGCCCTCCATCCAGACTGACATCAAGACCACTGACCTCAGTATTGACCTCCCATCAGCTGACATTGACATCAAGACCGGCGAGCTTGGAGTGAAGATCCCGGAGGGTCACCTGCCTGAGGGAGAGCTTGAGGGACGCTCCTCCGGAGTTGGATTCAAAGGGCACCTGCCCAAGGTTCACATGCCCAGCATGAAGATGCCCAAGGTCGATTTCAAAGGCCCCCAGGTGGACATCAAGGGGCCCAAAGTGGACCTGCAGGGCCCCAAAGGGGAGGTGACCGTCCCCGACATGGAGGTTTCGCTGCCCAGTGTGGAGGTGGACATTCAGGCGCCGAGCGCCAAGCTAGAGGGAGACATCGTTCTGGGGGACACCGAGGTGACCACCAAAGATAGCAAATTCAAGATGCCCAAGTTCAAGATGCCTTCCTTCGGTATGTCTGGGCCAGGCAAGGCCATGGAGACCTCAGTGGACGTGTCCCTGCCCTCCATCCAGACTGACATCAAGACCAGTGACCTCACTATTGAGCTGCGATCTGCTCATATGGACGTCAAGACCGGCGAGCTTGGAGTGAAGATCCCGGAGGGTCACCTGCCTGAGGGAGAGCTTGAGGGACGCTCCTCCGGAGTTGGATTCAAAGGGCACCTGCCCAAGGTTCACATGCCCAGCATGAAGATGCCCAAGGTCGACTTCAAGGGCCCCCAGGTGGATATCAAGGAGCCCAAAGTAGACCTGAAGGGCCCCGAAGGGGAGGTGACTGTTCCTGAGGGAGAAGTGAAGCTTGGAGAAGTGAAGGGCAAAGCAGAAGGGCCCACGTTCAAGGGCGACATGCCCAAGGTGCAGATGCCCAGCATGAAGATGCCCAAAGTCGACTTCAAGGGCCCCCAGGTGGACATCAAGGGGCCCAAAGTGGACTTGCAGGGCCCCAAAGTGGAGTTGACCGTCCCCGACATGGAGGTTTCGCTGCCCAGTGTGGAGGTGGACATTCAGGCGCCGAGCGCCAAGCTAGAGGGAGACATCGTTTTGGGGGACACCGAGGTGACCACCAAAGATAGCAAGTTCAAGATGCCCAAGTTCAAGATGCCTTCCTTCGGTATGTCTGGGCCAGACAAGGCCATGGACGCCTCAGTGGACGTGACCCTGCCAAAGGCTGAGGCAGACGTGTCCCTGCCCTCCATCCAGACTGACATCAAGACCACTGACCTCAGTATTGACCTCCCATCAGCTGACATTGACATCAAGACCGGCGAGCTTGGAGTGAAGATCCCGGAGGGTCACCTGCCTGAGGGAGAGCTTGAGGGACGCTCCTTCGGAGTTGGATTCAAAGGGCACCTGCCCAAGGTTCACATGCCCAGCATGAAGATGCCCAAGGTCGACTTCAAGGGCCCCCAGGTGGACATCAAGGGGCCCAAAGTGGACCTGCAGGGCCCCAAAGGGGAGGTGACCGTCCCCGACATGGAGGTTTCGCTGCCCAGTGTGGAGGTGGACATTCAGGCGCCGAGCGCCAAGCTAGAGGGAGACATCGTTCTGGGGGACACCGAGGTGACCACCAAAGATAGCAAATTGAAGATGCCCAAGTTCAAGATGCCTTCCTTCGGTATGTCTGGGCCAGGCAAGGCCATGGACGCCTCAGTGGACGTGTCCCTGCCCTCCATCCAGACTGACATCAAGACCACTGACCTCAGTATTGACCTCCCATCAGCTGACATTGACATCAAGACCGGTGAGCTTGGAGTGAAGATCCCGGAGGGTCACCTGCCTGAGGGAGAGCTTGAGGGACGCTCCTTCGGAGTTGGATTCAAAGGGCACCTGCCCAACGTTCACATGCCCAGCATGAAGATGCCCAAGGTCGACTTCAAAGGCCCCCAGGTGGACATCAAGGGGCCCAAAGTGGACCTGCAGGGCCCCAAAGGGGAGGTGACCGTCCCCGACATGGAGGTTTCGCTGCCCAGTGTGGAGGTGGACATTCAGGCGCCGAGCGCCAAGCTAGAGGGAGACATCGTTCTGGGGGACACCGAGGTGACCACCAAAGATAGCAAATTCAAGATGCCCAAGTTCAAGATGCCTTCCTTCGGTATGTCTGGGCCAGGCAAGGCCATGGAGACCTCAGTGGACGTGTCCCTGCCCTCCATCCAGACTGACATCAAGACCAGTGACCTCACTATTGAGCTGCCATCTGCAGATGTGGACGTCAAGACCGGCGAGCTTGGAGTGAAGATCCCGGAGGGTCACCTGCCTGAGGGAGAGCTTGAGGGACGCTCCTTCGGAGTTGGATTCAAAGGGCACCTGCCCAAGGTTCACATGCCCAGCATGAAGATGCCCAAGGTCGACTTCAAGGGCCCCCAGGTGGATATCAAGGGGCCCAAAGTAGACCTGAAGGGCCCCGAAGGGGAGGTGACTGTTCCTGAGGGAGAAGTGAAGCTTGGAGACGTGAAGGGCAAAGCAGAAGGGCCCACGTTCAAGGGCCACATGCCCAAGGTGCAGATGCCCAGCATGAAGATGCCCAAGGTCGACTTCAAGGGCCCCCGGGTGGACATCAAGGGGCCCAAAGTAGACCTGAAGGGCCCCGAAGGGGAGGTGACTGTTCCTGAGGGAGAAGTGAAGCTTGGAGAAGTGAAGGGCAAAGCAGAAGGGCCCACGTTCAAGGGCCAGATGCCCAAGGTGCAGATGCCCAGCATGAAGATGCCCAAAGTCGACTTCAAGAGCCCCCAGGTGGACATCAAGGGGCCCACAGTGGACCTGCAGGGCCCCAAAGGGGAGGTGACCGTCCCCGACATGGAGGTTTCGCTGCCCAGTGTGGAGGTGGACATTCAGGCGCCGAGCGCCAAGCTAGAGGGAGACATCGTTCTGGGGGACACCGAGGTGACCACCAAAGATAGCAAATTCAAGATGCCCAAGTTCAAGACGCCTTCCTTCGGTATGTCTGGGCCAGGCAAGGCCATGGAGACCTCAGTGGACGTGTCCCTGCCCTCCATCCAGACTGACATCAAGACCAGTGACCTCACTATTGAGCTGCCATCTGCTCATATGGACGTCAAGACCGGCGAGCTTGGAGTGAAGATCCCGGAGGGTCACCTGCCTGAGGGAGAGCTTGAGGGACGCTCCTCCGGAGTTGGATTCAAAGGGCACCTGCCCAAGGTTCACATGCCCAGCATGAAGATGCCCAAGGTCGACTTCAAGGGCCCCCAGGTGGATATCAAGGGGCCCAAAGTAGACCTGAAGGGCCCCGAAGGGGAGGTGACTGTTCCTGAGGGAGAAGTGAAGCTTGGAGAAGTGAAGGGCAAAGCAGAAGGGCCCACGTTCAAGGGCGACATGCCCAAGGTGCAGATGCCCAGCATGAAGATGCCCAAAGTCGACTTCAAGGGCCCCCAGGTGGACATCAAGGGGCCCAAAGTGGACTTGCAGGGCCCCAAAGTGGAGGTGACCGTCCCCGACATTGAGGTTTCGCTGCCCAGTGTGGAGGTGGACATTCAGGCGCTGAGCGCCAAGCTAGAGGGAGACATCGTTTTGGGGGACACCGAGGTGACCACCAAAGATAGCAAGTTCAAGATGCCCAAGTTCAAGATGCCTTCCTTCGGTATGTCTGGGCCAGACAAGGCCATGGACGCCTCAGTGGACTTGACCCTGCCAAAGGCTGAGGCAGACGTGTCCCTGCCCTCCATCCAGACTGACATCAAGACCACTGACCTCAGTATTGACCTCCCATCAGCTGACATTGACATCAAGACCGGCGAGCTTGGAGTGAAGATCCCGGAGGGTCACCTGCCTGAGGGAGAGCTTGAGGGACGCTCCTCCGGAGTTGGATTCAAAGGGCACCTGCCCAAGGTTCACATGCCCAGCATGAAGATGCCCAAGGTCGACTTCAAAGGCCCCCGGGTGGACATCAAGGGGCCCAAAGTGGACCTGCAGGGCCCCAAAGGGGAGGTGACCGTCCCCGACATGGAGGTTTCGCTGCCCAGTGTGGAGGTGGACATTCAGGCGCCGAGCGCCAAGCTAGAGGGAGACATCGTTCTGGGGGACACCGAGGTGACCACCAAAGATAGCAAATTCAAGATGCCCAAGTTCAAGATGCCTTCCTTCGGTATGTCTGGGCCAGGCAAGGCCATGGAGACCTCAGTGGACGTGTCCCTGCCCTCCATCCAGACTGACATCAAGACCAGTGACCTCACTATTGAGCTGCGATCTGCTCATATGGACGTCAAGACCGGCGAGCTTGGAGTGAAGATCCCGGAGGGTCACCTGCCTGAGGGAGAGCTTGAGGGACGCTCCTCCGGAGTTGGATTCAAAGGGCACCTGCCCAAGGTTCACATGCCCAGCATGAAGATGCCCAAGGTCGACTTCAAGGGCCCCCAGGTGGATATCAAGGAGCCCAAAGTAGACCTGAAGGGCCCCGAAGGGGAGGTGACTGTTCCTGAGGGAGAAGTGAAGCTTGGAGAAGTGAAGGGCAAAGCAGAAGGGCCCACGTTCAAGGGCGACATGCCCAAGGTGCAGATGCCCAGCATGAAGATGCCCAAAGTCGACTTCAAGGGCCCCCAGGTGGACATCAAGGGGCCCAAAGTGGACTTGCAGGGCCCCAAAGTGGAGTTGACCGTCCCCGACATGGAGGTTTCGCTGCCCAGTGTGGAGGTGGACATTCAGGCGCCGAGCGCCAAGCTAGAGGGAGACATCGTTTTGGGGGACACCGAGGTGACCACCAAAGATAGCAAGTTCAAGATGCCCAAGTTCAAGATGCCTTCCTTCGGTATGTCTGGGCCAGACAAGGCCATGGACGCCTCAGTGGACGTGACCCTGCCAAAGGCTGAGGCAGACGTGTCCCTGCCCTCCATCCAGACTGACATCAAGACCACTGACCTCAGTATTGACCTCCCATCAGCTGACATTGACATCAAGACCGGCGAGCTTGGAGTGAAGATCCCGGAGGGTCACCTGCCTGAGGGAGAGCTTGAGGGACGCTCCTTCGGAGTTGGATTCAAAGGGCACCTGCCCAAGGTTCACATGCCCAGCATGAAGATGCCCAAGGTCGACTTCAAGGGCCCCCAGGTGGACATCAAGGGGCCCAAAGTGGACCTGCAGGGCCCCAAAGGGGAGGTGACCGTCCCCGACATGGAGGTTTCGCTGCCCAGTGTGGAGGTGGACATTCAGGCGCCGAGCGCCAAGCTAGAGGGAGACATCGTTCTGGGGGACACCGAGGTGACCACCAAAGATAGCAAATTGAAGATGCCCAAGTTCAAGATGCCTTCCTTCGGTATGTCTGGGCCAGGCAAGGCCATGGACGCCTCAGTGGACGTGTCCCTGCCCTCCATCCAGACTGACATCAAGACCACTGACCTCAGTATTGACCTCCCATCAGCTGACATTGACATCAAGACCGGTGAGCTTGGAGTGAAGATCCCGGAGGGTCACCTGCCTGAGGGAGAGCTTGAGGGACGCTCCTTCGGAGTTGGATTCAAAGGGCACCTGCCCAAGGTTCACATGCCCAGCATGAAGATGCCCAAGGTCGACTTCAAAGGCCCCCAGGTGGACATCAAGGGGCCCAAAGTGGACCTGCAGGGCCCCAAAGGGGAGGTGACCGTCCCCGACATGGAGGTTTCGCTGCCCAGTGTGGAGGTGGACATTCAGGCGCCGAGCGCCAAGCTAGAGGGAGACATCGTTCTGGGGGACACCGAGGTGACCACCAAAGATAGCAAATTCAAGATGCCCAAGTTCAAGATGCCTTCCTTCGGTATGTCTGGGCCAGGCAAGGCCATGGAGACCTCAGTGGACGTGTCCCTGCCCTCCATCCAGACTGACATCAAGACCAGTGACCTCACTATTGAGCTGCGATCTGCTCATATGGACGTCAAGACCGGCGAGCTTGGAGTGAAGATCCCGGAGGGTCACCTGCCTGAGGGAGAGCTTGAGGGACGCTCCTCCGGAGTTGGATTCAAAGGGCACCTGCCCAAGGTTCACATGCCCAGCATGAAGATGCCCAAGGTCGACTTCAAGGGCCCCCAGGTGGATATCAAGGAGCCCAAAGTAGACCTGAAGGGCCCCGAAGGGGAGGTGACTGTTCCTGAGGGAGAAGTGAAGCTTGGAGAAGTGAAGGGCAAAGCAGAAGGGCCCACGTTCAAGGGCGACATGCCCAAGGTGCAGATGCCCAGCATGAAGATGCCCAAAGTCGACTTCAAGGGCCCCCAGGTGGACATCAAGGGGCCCAAAGTGGACTTGCAGGGCCCCAAAGTGGAGTTGACCGTCCCCGACATGGAGGTTTCGCTGCCCAGTGTGGAGGTGGACATTCAGGCGCCGAGCGCCAAGCTAGAGGGAGACATCGTTTTGGGGGACACCGAGGTGACCACCAAAGATAGCAAGTTCAAGATGCCCAAGTTCAAGATGCCTTCCTTCGGTATGTCTGGGCCAGACAAGGCCATGGACGCCTCAGTGGACGTGACCCTGCCAAAGGCTGAGGCAGACGTGTCCCTGCCCTCCATCCAGACTGACATCAAGACCACTGACCTCAGTATTGACCTCCCATCAGCTGACATTGACATCAAGACCGGCGAGCTTGGAGTGAAGATCCCGGAGGGTCACCTGCCTGAGGGAGAGCTTGAGGGACGCTCCTTCGGAGTTGGATTCAAAGGGCACCTGCCCAAGGTTCACATGCCCAGCATGAAGATGCCCAAGGTCGACTTCAAGGGCCCCCAGGTGGACATCAAGGGGCCCAAAGTGGACCTGCAGGGCCCCAAAGGGGAGGTGACCGTCCCCGACATGGAGGTTTCGCTGCCCAGTGTGGAGGTGGACATTCAGGCGCCGAGCGCCAAGCTAGAGGGAGACATCGTTCTGGGGGACACCGAGGTGACCACCAAAGATAGCAAATTGAAGATGCCCAAGTTCAAGATGCCTTCCTTCGGTATGTCTGGGCCAGGCAAGGCCATGGACGCCTCAGTGGACGTGTCCCTGCCCTCCATCCAGACTGACATCAAGACCACTGACCTCAGTATTGACCTCCCATCAGCTGACATTGACATCAAGACCGGTGAGCTTGGAGTGAAGATCCCGGAGGGTCACCTGCCTGAGGGAGAGCTTGAGGGACGCTCCTTCGGAGTTGGATTCAAAGGGCACCTGCCCAAGGTTCACATGCCCAGCATGAAGATGCCCAAGGTCGACTTCAAAGGCCCCCAGGTGGACATCAAGGGGCCCAAAGTGGACCTGCAGGGCCCCAAAGGGGAGGTGACCGTCCCCGACATGGAGGTTTCGCTGCCCAGTGTGGAGGTGGACATTCAGGCGCCGAGCGCCAAGCTAGAGGGAGACATCGTTCTGGGGGACACCGAGGTGACCACCAAAGATAGCAAATTCAAGATGCCCAAGTTCAAGATGCCTTCCTTCGGTATGTCTGGGCCAGGCAAGGCCATGGAGACCTCAGTGGACGTGTCCCTGCCCTCCATCCAGACTGACATCAAGACCAGTGACCTCACTATTGAGCTGCCATCTGCAGATGTGGACGTCAAGACCGGCGAGCTTGGAGTGAAGATCCCGGAGGGTCACCTGCCTGAGGGAGAGCTTGAGGGACGCTCCTTCGGAGTTGGATTCAAAGGGCACCTGCCCAAGGTTCACATGCCCAGCATGAAGATGCCCAAGGTCGACTTCAAGGGCCCCCAGGTGGATATCAAGGGGCCCAAAGTAGACCTGAAGGGCCCCGAAGGGGAGGTGACAGTTCCTGAGGGAGAAGTGAAGCTTGGAGACGTGAAGGGCAAAGCAGAAGGGCCCACGTTCAAGGGCCACATGCCCAAGGTGCAGATGCCCAGCATGAAGATGCCCAAGGTCGACTTCAAGGGCCCCCGGGTGGACATCAAGGGGCTCAAAGTAGACCTGAAGGGCCCCGAAGGGGAGGTGACTGTTCCTGAGGGAGAAGTGAAGCTTGGAGAAGTGAAGGGCAAAGCAGAAGGGCCCACGTTCAAGGGCCAGATGCCCAAGGTGCAGATGCCCAGCATGAAGATGCCCAAAGTCGACTTCAAGAGCCCCCAGGTGGACATCAAGGGGCCCAAAGTGGACCTGCAGGGCCCCAAAGGGGAGGTGACCGTCCCCGACATGGAGGTTTCGCTGCCCAGTGTGGAGGTGGACATTCAGGCGCCGAGCGCCAAGCTAGAGGGAGACATCATTTTGGGGGACACCGAGGTGACCACCAAAGATAGCAAGTTCAAGATGCCCAAGTTCAAGATGCCTTCCTTCGGTATGTCTGGGCCAGACAAGGCCATGGATGCCTCAGTGGACGTGACCCTGCCAAAGGCTGAGGCAGACGTGTCCCTGCCCTCCATCCAGACTGACATCAAGACCACTGACCTCAGTATTGACCTCCCATCAGCTGACATTGACATCAAGACCGGCGAGCTTGGAGTGAAGATCCCGGAGGGTCACCTGCCTGAGGGAGAGCTTGAGGGACGCTCCTCCGGAGTTGGATTCAAAGGGCACCTGCCCAAGGTTCACATGCCCAGCATGAAGATGCCCAAGGTCGACTTCAAGGGCCCCCGGGTGGACATCAAGGGGCCCAAAGTGGACCTGCAGGGCCCCAAAGGGGAGGTGACCGTCCCCGACATGGAGGTTTCGCTGCCCAGTGTGGAGGTGGACATTCAGGCGCCGAGCGCCAAGCTAGAGGGAGACATCGTTCTGGGGGACACCGAGGTGACCACCAAAGATAGCAAATTCAAGATGCCCAAGTTCAAGATGCCTTCCTTCGGTATGTCTGGGCCAGGCAAGGCCATGGAGACCTCAGTGGACGTGTCCCTGCCCTCCATCCAGACTGACATCAAGACCAGTGACCTCACTATTGAGCTGCCATCTGCTCATATGGACGTCAAGACCGGCGAGCTTGGAGTGAAGATCCCGGAGGGTCACCTGCCTGAGGGAGAGCTTGAGGGACGCTCCTCCGGAGTTGGATTCAAAGGGCACCTGCCCAAGGTTCACATGCCCAGCATGAAGATGCCCAAGGTCGACTTCAAGGGCCCCCAGATGGACATCAAGGGGCCCAAAGGGGAGGTGACCGTCCCCGACATAGAGGTTTCGCTGCCCAGTGTGGAGGTGGACATTCAGGCTCCAAGCGCCAAGCTAGAGGGAGACATCATTCTGGGGGACACCGAGGTGACCACCAAAGATAGCAAGTTTAAGATGCCCAAGTTCAAGATGCCTTCCTTCGGTATGTCTGGGCCAGGCAAGGCCATGGAGACCTCAGTGGACGTTTCCCTGCCCTCCATCCAGACTGACATCAAGACCAGTGACCTCACTGTTGAGCTGCCATCTGCAGATATAGACGTCAAGACTGGCGAGCTTGGAGTGAAGATCCCGGAGGGTCACCTGCCTGAGGGAGAGCTTGAGGGTCGCTCCTCCGGAGTTGGATTCAAAGGGCAACTGCCCAAGGTTCACATGCCCAGCATGAAGATGCCCAAAGTCGAATTCAAGGGCCCCCAGGTGGATATCAAGGGGCCCAAAGTAGACCTGAAGGGCCCCGAAGGGGAGGTGACTGTTCCTGAGGGAGAAGTGAAGCTTGGAGAAGTGAAGGGCAAAGCAGAAGGGCCCACGTTCAAGGGCCACATGCCCAAGGTGCAGATGCCCAGCATGAAGATGCCCAAAGTCGACTTCAAGGGCCCCAAAGTGGACATCAAGGGGCCCAAAGTGGACCTGCAGGGCCCCAAAGGGGAGGTGACCGTCCCCGACATGGAGGTTTCGCTGCCCAGTGTGGAGGTGGACATTCAGGCGCCGAGCGCCAAGCTAGAGGGAGACATCGTTTTGGGGGACACCGAGGTGACCACCAAAGATAGCAAGTTCAAGATGCCCAAGTTCAAGATGCCTTCCTTCGGTATGTCTGGGCCAGGTAAGGCCATGGACGCCTCAGTGGACGTGACCCTGCCAAAGGCTGAGGCAGACTTGTCCCTGCCCTCCATCGAGACTGACATCAAGACCACTGACCTCAGTATTGACCTCCCATCAGCTGTCATTGACATCAAGACCGGCGAGCTTGGAGTGAAGATCCCGGAGGGTCACCTGCCTGAGGGAGAGCTTGAGGGACGCTCCTCCGGAGTTGGATTCAAAGGGCACCTGCCCAAGGTTCACATGCCCAGCATGAAGATGCCCAAGGTCGACTTCAAGGGCCCCCGGGTGGACATCAAGGTGCCCAAAGTAGACCTGAAGGGCCCCGAAGGGGAGGTGACCGTCCCCGACATGGAGGTTTCGCTGCCCAGTGTGGAGGTTGACATTCAGGCACCGAGCGCCAAGCTAGAGGGAGACATCGTTCTGGGGGACACCGAGGTGACCACCAAAGATAGCAAGTTCAAGATGCCCAAGTTCAAGATGCCTTCCTTCGGTATGTCTGGTCCAGGCAAGGCCATGGAGACCTCAGCGGACGTGTCCCTGCCCTCCATCCAGACTGACATCAAGACCAGTGACCTCACTATTGAGCTGCCATCTGCTGATGTGGACGTCAAGACCGGCGATCTTGGAGTTAAGATCCCGGAGGGTCACCTGCCTGAGGGAGAGCTTGAGAGACGCTCCTCCGGTGTTGGATTCAAAGGGCACCTGCCCAAGGTTCACATGCCCAGCATGAAGATGCCCAAGGTTGACTTCATGGGCCCCCAGTTGGACATCAAGGGGCCCAAACTGGACCTGACGGGAGCCAAAGCGGAGGTGACCATCCCCGAGGGAGAAGTGAAGCTTGGAGAAGTGAAGGGCAAAGCAGAAGGGGCCACGTTCAAGGGCGACATGCCCAAGGTGCAGATGCCCAGCATGAAGATGCCCAAAGTCGACTTCAAGGGCCCCCAGGTGGACATCAAGGGGCCCAAAGTGGACCTGCAGGGCCCCAAAGGGGAGGTGACCGTCCCCGACATGGAGGTTTCTCTGCCCTTTGGGGAGGTGGACATTTCGGCACCGAGCACCAAGCTAGAGGGAGACATCGTTCTGGGCGACTCAGAGGTGACTACCAAAGACAGCAAGTTCAAGATGCCCAAGTTCAAGATGCCTTCCTTCGGGGTATCTCAACCACGCAAGGACTGGGGAACTTCGGTTGATGTGTCCTGGTCCCACAGCACAGAGCAGGCCTCTCCGACCTCCTTAGTAGGTGAGATTCCAGCCCCAGCGGGCAGCATCCACCTGCCATCTGCTCACCTGGCGGTCCCGGGAGGCGAGATGGTGGTGCCCCTGAGGGATGGCGAGGTGACGGTGGGGGAGCTGAAGGGCAAAGGAGAAGGCGCCAAGTTCAAAGGCCACCTGCCCAAAGTGCAGATGCCCAGCATCAAGGTGCCCAAGGTGGACATCAAGGGGCCCAAAATGGACCTGAAATGCACCAAAGGTGAGGTGACCCCTCCTGGCTCAGAGACGGCGCCTCCTAGCGTGGAGGCGGACATCCAGGAGCCCCACGCCAAGGGCACAGGTGACCTCGGCCTGGAGGGCAAGGAGGTGGCTGCCCGTGAGAGCAAGTTCAAGATGCCGAAGGTCAGCATGCCGTTCTTCCGACCGTCGTCCAGTAAGACGTATTCCGTGTCCGCTGATCGCTCTGTCTGCAGGGGCGATGTGGGGGCGGCCCCGGGGAGCCCCGCTGTGGTGGGTGTGGGGGTGACTCTTGGGGATCCGGGGGCTGCCAAGGCGCCGTCTGTGCAGGCGGCCCTGCCGGGCAGGCCTGGGGTCTCTGCAGCCGGACCTGACATCGGTGGCCACCGCGCTGAGGCTGAGGCCCTCGCGGTCTGTGAGGGTGTCACACTTACCAAGTTCCAGGCGACTCTCCCCGGAGCCGGCGTCGCCCCAGAGCGGCCTCCGGAAACGCCCTCGGAGTCCAGGGGGGACGCGCACCTGTTCAGCGCCCCAGGCGCTGCCGACCTTCCGTCCCAGGAGCCCGTGCCTTCGTCCCAAACTGACGGCCGCCCTGGCCCGGCGGACCCCCTGATCCGCACATCGTATGGCCGCGTGACTTTCCCCAAATTCCACCGCCCGAGGTTCCGGGTTTCCGAGGCCTCGGCCGAGGCCGGCGCCTGGGAGGGCGCCCTGTCCCCACGCAGCCCCGCACGGGCGCTGGACGCAGAGGAAGCCACGGTGTCCCCGTGGTCGGCTACACCGCTGCCCCTGGGGGCGGAGGAGCCTGCAGGCGGAGCTGGGACCCCGGCCGAGGCTGCTGAGGGGGTGCCCGCGGGGGAGGCGGCGGCCGGGGCCGCGCGGGCCGGCTCGCAGGACAGCTGGTTCAGGATGCCCTCTCTCCGCCTGCCCAGCTTCTGGCGCTCCTCCCCGGAGCAGGGCGGGGCGGGGGCCCCAGCCGCGGCCCCGAGGCCAGGGGTCTGTGCTCCCGGGTCCGAGGTGGAGACGGACGTGGCGGGAGCTCTCGGGGGAGGTCTGCTCCGTCCGGGCCTGGGCTCAGAGCCGCCCCTGCCTCCTGCCACCACGTCCCCTGAGGAGCCCCCCACTGCCCAGGCCCCGCCGGGTCCGGGCGAGGGCCCCCTCTCCGGCACGGGGCCCCCCTCTCCCCGGCCGGAAGGCCCGCTCAGGCTGAAGGCTTCGAGGACGGACGCGCCAGCCCGAGTCTCCGTCGTGGGCCAGGCCTGGGAGGACTCTGTGCTCACCGTCAGGTTCCCCAAGCTCAAGGTGCCCCGGTTCACCTTCCCGGCCCCCGGCGGCGAGGCCGACGTCTTCGTCCCCCCGGCCGCGGCCGCGCGGGAGGTCTGGCGCCCGGACGGCAGCCTGGCCCTGGCCCTGCGGGGGGAGGCCCCCGGGGCCTGGGGCGTGAGCATCCTGCAGGCGGGCGGGACCCCCGGGCTGCAGCCCCCGCCGGAGGCCCCGGCCCTCCCCGCGGAGGCCGGCCCCATCTCCAAGGTCAGAGTGCACATCCAGGGCGCGCGGGTGGAGAGCCGGGAGGCCACCGTCCACACCAGGGTCCTCACGCAGGCTGGCCCCTCGCAGATCCAGATCGTGCGGGAGGCGGAGATCCCGGCCTCCGAGGTCCAGACGCCGGCGTACGGGTTCTCCCTGCTCAAGGGGCAGGTCCCCGAGAGCCCCCTGCGGGCTCAGGTGCAGGTGGTCACGCAGGCAGCCGAGCGGGCGCCGGGGGCCCCACAGCCGGACGCAGAGACGTTTGAGATCCTGTCCTCCGGCACCGACGCCGGCCCGCAGACCACCACGTCCGCAGGGTCCGAGGGCAGCTCGGGCCCGCAGCCTGCGGACAGCGGTTCCGACGAGGAGCCCGCGGAGATCCTGGAGTTCCCGCCGGAGGACGGCCGAGAGGGAGACGAGGCCGCCGGGGAGAAGCCGGAGAGCAAGCGGGCCTCCGGGCGGTTCCGGTTCTGGCTCCCGAGCATCGGGTTCTCCTCCGGGGCCCCGGACGCCGGTGCCACCGCCACCACCGGGGAGGAGCCCACACCCGCCCCGGTGCAGACGCAGCCCGAGGCCCGGCCCGCGGCCGAGCCGCCCCGGAAGCAGGAGAAGGCGGGCTGGTTCCGGTTCCCCAGACTGGGCTTCTCCGCGGCGCCCGGCAGGAAGGGCGAGAGCACGGGGGGCGCCCCGGCCCAGGCCCAGCCCCCGGAGGAGGCCGTCACGTTCTTCGACGCCCGAGAAAGCCTGTCCCCCGAGGACCGCGAGGAGGAGCCCGGGGAGCCCGCCACGGCCACGGCCACAGCCACAGCCACGCGGGAGCCCGGCGGGAAGGCCGCAGCCCAGCCCGCGCCCCGGGCCCAGTGAGGCCGCAGCTGCCTGCGGGATGGAGGTGCCCGTGGCCGTGGCCGTGGCGCGCGCTCGTTGGCTGTGACGTGTGGGGGCGTGGTCAGCGGTGGGCGTGGCCTCGGGTGGGCGTGGCCCTGCCCTGTCCCCTGGCGGTCCAGCTGCGCACACAGTAACCCGCTCGCCCCTTTGTGGACCACCCCCCCGCAGCCTCGGGGGCGCCCCCTGCTTAGCATGGACCCGGCAGGAGGCGGGGCAGGTGCCAGCTGGCCGCTCAGGGCCCATGGGGGTGGGTGGGGGTGGGGTGGGTGAGGCTGCAGGGGTGTGGGTGCGGGGTGTGGGTGTGGGTGTGGGGGGACTGCCCGCTCCCCAGCCCCTCCCCGCTGTTCCCGGCCAGACAATAAAGGAGGTGACGCCACGAGCGGCTCTGAGGACTTTTGTTCCGGGAAGAAGCGCGACCCCCGGCACACACTGCGGGTCCCCCCGGCACACACTGCGGGTCCCCCCGGCACACACTGCGGGTCCCCCCGGCACACACTGCGGGTCCCCCGGCACACACTGCGGGTGCCCCCAGGCACACACTGCGGGTGCCCCCAGGCACGCACTGCGGGTGCCCCCGGCATGCACTGCGGGTGCCCCGGCACGCACTGCGGGTCCCCCGGCACGCACTGCGGCGTCTGTGTCCGGCACGCACTGCGGGTCCCCCCGGCACGCACTGCGGGTCCCCCCGGCACGCACTGCGGCGTCTGTGTCCGGCACACACTGCGGGTCCCCCCGGCACACACTGCGGGTCCCCCCGGCACGCACTGCGGGTCCCCCCGGCACGCACTGCGGGTCCCCCCGGCACGCACTGCGGCGTCTGTGTCCGGCACGCACTGCGGGTGCCCCCGGCACGCACTGCGGGTGCCCCCGGCACACACTGCGGGTCCCCCCCGGCACACACTGCGGGTCCCCCGGCACGCACTGCGGGTCCCCCGGCACGCACTGCGGGTCCCCCGGCACGCACTGCGGGTCCCCCGGCACGCACTGCGGGTGTCCCCGGCACGCACTGCGGGTCCCCCGGCACGCACTGCGGGTGTCCCCGGCACACACTGCGGCGTCTGTGTCCGGCAGAGCCGCCTGGGAGGCCGTGGCGGGGGGTCACGTACTCTTAGGGGAGGGAAGAGAGGGGACGGGGCTCAGGGCACTCAGCCGCGCTGACGGGTGGGTCATGTGAGGCCTATGATGAGGGACCCGGGGACTCAGGAGTCGGGGGCTCAGGGTGTTTGGCAGGTGCTGACTGTGGCTCAGTGCTCGGGGATGTCCGGCCGCAGGTGGAGATACGTCGGGCCGTCAGTTGGAGGAAGGGAGGATCTATCAGGAGGGGCCATCTCAGAGGCTCCCCAAGTCCCCGCTGGGGGGGGGCAGTTAGGGGGTTCCCACGTGGCCCCCACTCCCCGGCTCCCAGGCTCTGGCCCCCATACCCTTGGACGGGCTGCTGCTCCCCTGGCTGTGGGTGCGGGGCAGGAGCTGGTCCTTCACCCCCTGGGGGACTGTGGGCCCCATGTGGCCTGCTGCTTCCAACACTGCCCCCTCCCCCAACCCCGTGGGGCCCGGGGACACGGAGGTCAGGCGCAGGAGGGCCGGCCAGGCCGGCTGTGGCGGTGGGCAGGGCCATCAGCTTAGGGGAGGGAGCCCTGGAGCTGAGCCCCAGCAGGGCCCTGAGCGCCCCTGAGTGGGGCGGCGGGAAGGAGGGCTCAGTGGGCCTTCCGCCTGCAGCCGAGCGAGGCCGCGCCCCCCCTCCCTCGCCCCCCTCCCGGCCAGTGCTGGCCTCTGGGGACCCGGGCGGGGCTGCCTGGCTCAGGATTCACCGCCCCCTCCCCCGACCCGGGGTCACAGCTGCCATGCTGACCGTGTGGACCCTCCTGTGCCCTGATGAGGAACCCCACAAACGGCGGGCCCAACAGTTGATCGTCCAGTGTCGTGGGGAGCAGGCCGGCGCCCCCTGCAGGTCCGTGCGTTGGGACCCAGGCTCCGAGGGGCTCAGGCCGCCCCGGGCCGGACGGGAAGAAGCTGCTTGTGAACTGGCCAGTGGGGGCAGCACTGGGTCCACCCGCAGGCACTCGGCCTGGTTCCCGCCCCTCAGCAAGGGGCCCCCCTGGCTGCCCCCCCTCCCCCCTCCCCGTGTGCACAGTGTTGGTTACAAGGAAGGACAGGCTCCCACCCCCAAAGACTGGGCTCTGCAGGAGGGGCCACATCAGGGAGCCCCCCCAGCCCCCTGCATCTCTCAGCCTCATCCATCTGGCTCCGGGAGGGGGCTCTGCTGGAGCAGGCCCTCCAGGCGGCCACCGGGGCTTGGCCACCCGGCCCCGGGCGAGGCGGGCATGGCTGAGGCCCAGCACCAGCTGCGGCCTGGAGCTCAGAGCCGTCGGGACCGGCCGGCCAGGCCTGGGCAGCGAGGGGGCGGTGGTGTCTGCTCCCGGCCCCGCCTGGTCAGTGCAGCTCAGCACAGACTAGCCAGCCGCCCGCTGCCCTGACCGCAGTGCGGGGCCCGCCCCCCTCAAGTCCTCGAGGGGGCGGGGGGGGCGTCAGGCTGGCTCTGGAGAATTCCTCACAGACAGGATGCTGGCGTCTGAGCGTCCCACACGACCCCCAGCTCTCCCAGGGGCCGCCAGGACGGGGGCGGGAGGGGGCAATGCAGGGTGTGGGGGAGGGGGACCCCGTGTCTCCTCGCTTAGCTCCCTCAGCGTCCGCTGCCCCTGGGACCACGGAGCAGCCTCAAGCTCCATCCGGCCTCAGTGATGGGGGGGGGGGAGGGGACCCCCGTCTGGGCAGGCGGGTCGCAGCCCGAGTCAGAAGCCAGCAGGTGGGACCTGGGACCGAATGCAGACCCTCCTCCGCAGGCAGGTGCAGTGGCTCCGGGGTATGCTCCTGCCATCCCAGCTGGGCCAGCCTCCCCAGCTCAGCCCAGGTTCTCCTCATTTCCCCCGCCCCCCGTCCTGGGCCCCCTGCCCCTCTGGCCCCCCTTTCCCCTCCAGCCCCGCCCACAGGTCTGGGTCCCCCCCCTCCAGCCCCGCCCACAGGTCTGGGTCCCCCCCCTCCAGCCCCGCCCACAGGTCTGGGCCCCTCTGCTGCCCCAGGAACTGCCCAGGAGGTGGTCACAGGGACCAGTCCATCTGCTCCTGCTCCCGACGCCCAGCCAGGGCTCTGTCAATGCCAATGCCCCGGGTCCCTGGGGGCTGGGCACTGAGGCGTCAGTGGCTCCATGGCAGACACGCCACCTGCACGGCCGGCCGCCCGGGGTACACGCTGCTCACAGGCAGCCACGGGCCTGACCCGCCCGGCGGGAGACGGGGGCCGGACTGCGGCTCTGGAATTGAGAGGCAGCTGGAGGGCTTCGGGAGGAGGCGGGCTCAGGAGCCTGTATTTGGGCATCAGGAGAGCAAACAGTTCACAGGGCGGGGCAGTGTCTGGCAGAGGCTGTGCGGCGCCGGCCGGCCTCGGGCCTCAGCCCGGCCACACGCAGTCCTGGCCCGGGGCCCGCCCGTCCAGGCCCACAGCGTAGCGGGAGCTCCAGTCTCGCTCGAACAGCCGCCGCAGCCGCTCCTGCACCGAGCTGGCCGCCCGCTGGCTCGCCACCAGCCCCACGCCCGACGTGCTGCTGAAGTAGTCTTCCGACCAGTTGGAGGTGCCTGGGGGGCGGGGAGATGCTGGTGTCCGGCCTCCCGGAGCCCCCCGCCTGGCCCGGCCGGGGGGACGTGGTCACAGGGTGCTCGGGGGCCTCTGGGCTGAGAGCCACGCCCCCAGCTCCAGGCCTGGCCCGGCCCGGCCCGCCCCTCCGCGGGCCTGCGCCTCTGTGCCCCACTCACAGCCGCCCTCAGACCACAGGTGCCCCGGGCTCACCTACGTAGGCCGCCTTCTCCGTGACCATGAACTTGCTGTGGCTCATTCTGCTGAACGGGATGGCGGAGTGATTCCCCACCGGCACGATGAAGACCTTCTGTGGGGCCGGAGGGAGTGAGTCAGGAGGGGAGGAGGGGAGGGGGAGGAGAGGGGGAGGGAAGGAGGGGGGAAGGGGGAGGGGAGGAGGGGAGGAAGGGGAGGGGGAGGGGGAGGGGATGAGGGGAAGAGGGGGTGGGGGGAGGGGGAGGGGAGGAGGGGAGGAGGGGTGGGGGAGGGGGAGGAGAGGGGGAGGGGAGGAGGGGAGAGGAAAAGGGGAGGGGAGGAGGGGGGAGGGGAAGGGAGGAGGGGAGGAGGGGAGAGGGGGAGCAGAGGGGGAGGGGGAGGGGGAAGAAGGGAGGAGGGGAGGGGGGAGGAGAAAAGGGTGAGGAGAGGAAGGGGGAGGGGAAAGGGGGGAGGGGAGGAGGGGGGAGGGGAAAGGGGGAGGGGAGGAGGGGGAGGGGAAAGGGGGAGGGGAGGAGGGGGGAGGGGAAAGGGGGAGGGGAGGAGGGGGGAGGGGAAAGGGGGAGGGGAGGAGGGGGGAGGGGAAGGAGGAGGGGAGGAGGGGAGAGGGGGAGGAGAGGGGGAGGGGAGGAGGGGGGCGGAGGGAGGGGGAGGGGAGGGGGGAGGAGAAAGGGGGGAGGGGCAGGGGACCAGGCCTCACCACGTCCAGGGACACGTTGGTGGCAGGGTCGCTGAAGGCCTGCAGGGACTGCAGGAAGGAGAACATGCTGGGGTCCGTGTGCAGCGAGCAGCTGACCAGCAGGCGCACGGGCACCCGCCGGCTGAAGGCCACCTCCCGCAGCGCGCTGTCCAGCACCGGCCAGTACCTGCGGGCAGGCGGTCAGGGACCCAGCCGTTGGGCCCGCCCGCCCGCCTGCCCGCCCGGAGGTCTGCCTCCGGCCCCGCTGCCCCTCCCGCACCCACCGGGCGGGGCGGCTGAAGCGTGTGGTGGGGAAGTAGTCCATCACCGAGACGTAGAGGAAGCGCCGGGCCGCCCGCATCACCGCCAGCAGCGCCTCCAGGTCCCGGGTGCGGCCGGCGGGGCAGAGCGCAGGCGGCGAGGCCTGGGGGAGGGGGCAGGTCCCTGAGGGCGCCGCCCTGCACCCCCTCCAGGATGTGGGGTCGGGAGGGAGACCGGGCACGACCCGGTGGGGGCCCTGTGCCAGGCAAGGCTTCCCGCCTGCACGGGTCCCCGTCCGGGGTCAGGTCCCCGCCCAGACGCCAGGCCTCTGCTCTGGGCCAGCCAGGGGCCGAGGGCACCGGCAGGGGCATCAGCCGGGGCGTCAGCCGGGGGCACCGGCCGGGGCATCAGCCGGGGCGTCAGCTGGGGGCACCGGCCAGGGGCATCAGCCGGGGGCATGGCCGGGGGGC